TTCCATTACTTTTGTCTCCCCACTATTTTTTCTTATGTTTCCCTTTTGTTCTGCTCTTCCCTTTTCTTATCCCTTTGGTAGTCTTCGTGGTGCAACAGTTGACCAGCTTATGAAAAAGTATGCTAATCTATTTGAATTTGATTTATTGTTTGGGGCCAAGATTGCCACATGTCATTTAATTCCAATTGGGGATCCTCATCCAATCAAGGTTTTTGTTCGTCGTCGGTCACCCAAAGAGATCAAGATTTTATATGTAAACGTCAAAGAGATGTTAGAAAAAGGTGTTATTCGAAAGTGGTAAAGTTCTTAGGTATATGAACCTCATCTTGTGACAAAGCTTGATGGGAGTATTTGTTTCTGTATTGATTATCATCCGTTAAATAAAGTGACGATCCTGGATGTGTACCCTCTTCCTCACATTATTGATATCTTGGATTGTCTAGGAAGAAGTCATTAGTTCACCAAACTAGATCTTGCTTCTGGGTACTGGCAAGTATTGATGGCCTAAAAAAATATTCCTAAGACTACCTTTCATACACCATTTAATTTATACGAGTTTTTGGTGATACTGTTTGGTTTGAACAATGCTTTAATGACTTTTCAGTAAATGATGGATGAGGTTCTTTGCGATATGCCGAAGGTGACTACTGACTTTATTGATGATGTTTCGATCCATTCGGAGGGGACATGTGAGGAACATGTCTGTGATGTTTGTAAAGTGTTGGATGGGCTATGGGAAATTGGTATAAAGATGAAGTAGTCGAAGTGTGTGTTTAGATCCAAAGTGTGTGTAGATTGTATTTTTCATGAGGTTTGCAAGTTGATCTTGAGAAATTTGTGGTTGTTCTAAGTTCCCTACTTCGAAGTTTGTGAATGATGTACAACACTTCCTGAACAAAGTGCAATATCTCAGTTATTTTATGGATCATCTTTTTGATTGCATTGCACCATTACGAACGTTATTGAAGTTATCAACGTTATCTTTCATCTAGTCTCTAGATTGTGAGTGGGCATTCATGGATCTTAAAGAGTTATTGACGACTCTTCCAGTTTTGACATATCCTGACTACACTCAACTTTTCATTTTACACGTAGATGCCTATAATATTAGTCTTGGAAGAGTGTTGATACAAGAGAGCTCAAGTGTGCCTAGTCAATGCCATCCCATTGCGTATATAAGCTATACATTACAACTAGTGGAGGTGAACTACTCCACAATAAAGAAGGAGTGTTTAGCAGGAGTCTAGGGTTTCAAGAAACTTCATATATATCTACATGGTTCTCGGATATTACTAAAAGGTGATCATGTTGCCATTACTTCATTATTAAAGCGGAAGAACCTGATTGGTTGTACTGTTTAGTGGACTTTGAAGTTTCAAATATATAATTTTGATGTTATTCATTGCTTGGGGAGTTCTATAGCTGATGCTGATGCCATTTCTCGAGCTCCTCTCCTTCTTCACTCTTTTCTCATATTTTTGATGAGCCTATTGTTCCAGCATTTATGGATTTTCTAGATGAAGATTGGCAGTTGTTATATTTGATATTCAATGTTCACAAGAAACAAACCAAGATCTACTTTCTCTTGATGAGGTTCGCGAGGCTCAGAAGATTGAGCCGTGGATTCGAAGGCTTCGAGATGGGTTTGAGAATCCT